GTGTGTTTGCCGTCCCCACCGCGTGTCCCCCAGCCCAGGACACACCCCCGAGGGGATGGGCAGAGCCGGGGAGGGGGGATCGCGGCTCGGGGTGACCGGAGGGGGAGCGGACACCCCCCGGTGACCTCCCCGGGGATACCGGGGGGCCCCGGGAGAGCCCGGCCTGGCCAGCTTCCCTTATCCGGGGCTCGCCGTGCCCCTCGCCATTGGCCCGCGCTGTCACATGGAGCCAACTTTGTTCACTTGACAGTGAGGAGGAGGCTCCGCCAAACAGGAAAACGAGGAAAGGGAGGCGCAGGGGGGGCGGGGGGGGACGACAGGAATAAATTTTAAGGAGAGAAAGAGAGCCAGAGAGCCAGAGAGAGAGATACATACATATATATATATATATATATATATTATTTTCTTCCCCCCCGAGCGCGAATTCCCCCCCCCCCCTCCCACCCCCGACAAGAAATTAATGGCCATGAGCTCATTTTTGATCAACTCCAACTATGTGGACCCCAAGTTCCCACCCTGCGAGGAATATTCCCACAGCGATTACCTCCCCAACCACTCGCCGGAATATTACCAGAGGCACCGCCACGACTCTTTCCACCACGAATCCAACTCGTACGAGCCACGATCCTCGTGCAAGGAGCAGATTTACTGTCCCGGCTCCGGGATGTCCCCGCGGGGTCACATCCACGGCGGGCCCGGGCAGCGGAGCCGCCTCCCGGAGCCGCAGCGGGGCCGCAGCCCCAGCTCGCCCCCATCCTGCAGCCAAAATCCGGGAGAGCCCCGCGAGGAGCCCGTGGTTTACCCCTGGATGAAAAAAGTGCACGTGAGCACGGGTAAGTGGAGGGGGAAAAAAAAAAGAAAAGAGTCTCGGCGCTTTATGGTTTAAGTAGCACCTCAAAGTCTTGTAGAAATCTTATTGCGGCGGTTGTAAAATAACCATTCGGGGGAGATTTACGAGCGCCTGTTTGCGGAGCGCTATAATTACATCCTCCATAAATTTTTATTGCTCTGCTTGGCCATGTGCCTTTGAAGTCTCTGTTACCATCCTCCTCCAATTTCTTGCAGGCTACCTCTCTTTTTTTTTATTATTTTATTTTTTCTTTTATTTTTTCTTTGATTTTTTCTTTGATTTTTTTTCTTTTATTTTTTCTCCTTCCCCCCCTCCTCCCTTTTTTTTTTTTTTTTATTATTATTATTTTTATGGCCGTCGAATCTTCATAAGTGAAGTTTTATGTTTTGGTAATTTGTATTTAAGTGGCGGGTTGAGTAAACTTTTACTGTTTTCCCCTCCCCTGCCCTCCTTTTTTTTTATTTAATCTCCTTTTTTCCCCTCTTTTTTTTTTTTTAATTCCCTTTTCTTTTCCCTCTTTTTCCCCACCTTTTTTCCCCTCTTTTTTTTCCCCTCTTTTTTCCCCTCTCTCTTATTTTTTTCCCCTCTTTTCTGTTTTTTTTTCCCTCTTTTTGTTTTACTTTTAAAGAAAACGGAAACATTTAATAAACAGCACCTCCCGCTCTCGCCGCTTTCCCAGCGCGCACGGAGTGGGGAGGGGGGGGAGGAACTTTTGGGGATAAATCCGCGATGTTCTGGCTCAGCTGCCTCTCCATAAATGCGAATTTCCACACTCAAAACGTGGCCGGGGGACTTTAGGAAAACCTTGGGAAGGGGATCCACGCCGAGCCGTGGGGATGGAGGCTGAGATTTGCCCATCGGGATATTTTTAGAAGGTTTGCTTTGTATTATTTTTATTTTTTTTCCGAAAATAAAGCAAATCTCCCCTTTCCAGAGAAGGCGAGACGCTTTTATTTCGATTTTTTTTTGTAATTTTTTTAAGGGGGGGAAGAACCCATTGAAGGAACAGCTCTGTAACTCTGCTGCTTTTTCTTTTTCCTCCTTTTTTTATTTATTGTCCCCTTGGGTTTTCCCTTTTTTGTGTGTGCGCGGTTTTCCCTCGTCCCTTTTCCATTTTTTGTGTGTGTTTTCACATCTTTTTCCCATTTTTTTGTGCTTTCACATATTTTCCCCCTCTTTTTCTGTGTTTTCAATATTTTCTTCCCCTTTTTTAAAATTTCCTTTTGGTTTGTGTTTTCACATCTTCCCCCCCACCCCCTCCACCCCCCACTTCTTTTATTCTTTATTCTTTTTTTTGTGTGCTTTCACATCTTCCCCATTTTCTTTTATTATTTCTTTAACATTTCCCCATCTCCCCCTCTTCTTTTTTTATTTTTTTAATTTTTTAAAAATATTCCCACATCTCTCCCCCCTCTTTTTTAATTTCTTTAAATTTTCTTTTTAATATCTTCCCATCCCCCTTATTTTAATTTTTTAATTTTTTTTAAATATTTCCACATCTCCCCCACACTTTTTTCTCAATTATTTTCAATTTTTGTTTAATATTTCCCCATCTCCCCTTTTTTAAAATTTTCTTAATTTTGTTTAATATTTCCCCATCTCCCTTTTTTTTTTAATTTTTAATTTTGTTTTTATTTCCCTATCTCCCCTTTTTTTAAATTTTAATTTTCTTTAAATATTTCCCCATCTCCCCCTTTTTTTAATTTTTAATTTTTTTTAACATTTCCCCATCTCCCCCTTTCTTTTAATTTTAATTTTCTTTAAATATTTCCCCATCTCCCCCTTTTTTAAATTTTCATTTTCTTTAAATATTTCCCCATCTCCCCCTTTTTTTAATTTTTAATTTTTTTTAACATTTCCCCATCTCCCCCTTTCTTTTAATTTTTAATTTTTCAAACATTCCCCCATCTCCCATTTTTTTTTTTTATTTTTAAATTTTTAATTTTTTTTAACATTTCCCCATCTCCCCCTTTCTTTTAATTTTAAACTTTTTTTAACATTTCCCCATCTCCCCCTTTCTTTTAATTTTTAATTTTTTTTTTTTAACATTTCCCCATCTCCCCCTCCCTTTTTCTCCCCCCTCCATCCCCCCCTCGCCCCCCACCCCGGCAGTGAACCCCAATTTCTGCGGCGGGGAGCCCAAGCGCTCGCGCACGGCCTACACCCGGCAGCAGGTGCTGGAGCTGGAGAAGGAATTCCACTACAGCCGCTACCTGACGCGCCGGCGCCGCGTGGAGATCGCGCACGCCCTGGGCCTGGCCGAGCGCCAGATCAAGATCTGGTTCCAGAACCGCCGCATGAAGTGGAAAAAGGATCACAAGTTACCCAACACCAAGAGCCGCGCCGGATCCGCCGCCGGATCCCTGCAGATCCCGCAGGGAGGAGCCCAAAATCAGATC